GTTTTAGGCATATTTGTATCACCAGGTCATACGGGATTAGTAGATTCCAGAGAACCATCATGACACTAATAACAATAAAAATATTCATAGGGACTTTCTTCTCAGTGAGAAATATCTTTCTAAATATTTTGTAGTATCTTCAGCAACATCACAAATTTAATTATTTCATGAAGAAAACAGTTTAACAAATTTTTGCAAAGATGAGTTTAATCGACTATAATGCTTATATTTTTCTCTTGCCTTCGTAAAACTTTTATTTATTTATTTATTTATTTATTTTGGTACTGGGAATTGAACCCAAGGGTGCTTAACCAATGAGCCACATCCCCAGTCCTTTTTTTATATTTATTTAGAGACAGGATCTAGCTAAGTTGCTAAGGACCTCGCTAAATTGCTGAGGCTGGCTTTGAACTCGTAATCCTCCTGCCTCAGCTTCCGGAAGAGCTGGAGCCACTGGGATTACAGTCATGTGCCCCCCCACACCCGGCTTCTCTCACTTTTTAAAAAACACAATCCAGACAATAGGTTATTTGTCCCCAATTAACTAAAATAAAATTTTGCAACTTTCAAGGAAACATAACATGCCCTCCTGTTGCCACGGCAATGCTTGTGCTCAACCCCACTTACTAGTGGAAAACTGCCAAGCAAAAGCAATCTGTGTGTGAGGGAGGGGACGGGGGAACATTTACACATTATTTGCAGGGAGATAAAGCCTTATGAGGAGAGGAGGTGGCCAGGTTTCCTGATGAGAAGCAGCTTGGCCCAGGAGCAGAGAGGAAGGCTAAGCATGTGATGGCATTAGACCCTTCTCCCACATCTTGGACTTCTTGTCCCTCTTGATCCTGCCTTTTGTATCACAATCATGCAAACAAACATGGAATCCAGTACATGAAGGAATGGGAACGTGAAAAAAGTTAATTGAATGCATTTTTCTCAGCTTGTCTCATTATTTCACTTTCTACCTTTAAATGACAGTTTGAAGTGGAACACAATCTGTGTGATCCGGAGCAGAGATCTTGCTGTTGATTTAGCACTGTGTGACATGTACAAAAAGAAAGCACAATGTCAGAAGTGGAGTGGCAGTCATTTCAATGAAACAGTTACCATAAAGTTTCCCCTCACCTTTTGGTGAACTGTGTTTCTGTTTAATGACACATCTACTGTGTAGTGATACCAAGTATGTCTGTGGCATTATGTCCCACACTGGCTCAGGTCTTTGCAAGTAGTACCTTCCAGAGTCCATGCACCAGCCTGAACTCTCAGCAGATGAGAAATACAAGGACACTAATACTCCACAGTATTCGATCTGCAGAATTCCCTCTGTTCTGGAATTCTGCAGCCTGTCAGAGCGTAGTTCCCAGACCATATTAGCATCACTAGGGTCCTTTTTAACCTTGTGGACTCCCAGCCCCACTGCAGACCTGCTGCATCAGGATCTTTAATAGGGTCTCTAAGAGATTCAATTGTACATTCAAGAAACAGTGTTCTTCAGGACCAAACAAAACAAAATATACAAACATATAAGAGAAGCCAGGCACGGTGGCACATGCCTGTAATCCCAGCAGCTCAGGAGGCTGAGGCAGGAGGATCACAAGTTCAAAGCCAGCCTTAGCAAAAGTGAGGCACTCAGCAACTTGGTGAGACCTGTTTCTAAATAAAATACAAAATAGGGCTGGGGATGTGGCTCAGTGGTCGAGTGTCTCTGAGTTCAATCCCTCGTAACCCCAAAAAAGAAAAAGAAATGTATGATTTCTGAGATGCGATCTTGCTGTATTGCCCAAGCTAGCCTTAAACTTGTGATCCTCCTGCCTCAGCTTTCCAAGTAACTGAGATTACATGCAGATACTAGCATACTTGCTGGAGCCCATAAATTAAGAGACTGGAAATATATCCACCAAACACGATGTATACATGCTGTTGGAATAAAAACAGCTGCTGAGACTAGCTCACAGAGTTGTCAAACTCAAATGCAAGAATGGATGTGAAAATGATCTGTAAATCATACAGCACTAGTCAAATGCTATTTGCATCTATTTTCTTTTGGAAAATAGAGGCAATTTTGAAAGTGAGCCATAAAATGGCAACTTCTCTCTTCCTAAAAACTATTCAAGCTGTTTTTTCAGGATGCAGGCACAGAACCCTAGTACTAGACCTAAAATGACTTTGAGAGCCTGGTGGAACCAAAATTTTCTGAGAAGCAGAACCTGAGAAAGAGAACAGGGCCTTGAAAACTTAGATTAGAAGCAAGGGATGCTGTCAACAGTTCTCAATTATCCATAAGTTTCACCTTGACTGGACTATGGGGTCAGGACTATTCTAGCAAGATTATAGTTACAACCTCTCAGCCTTTGATTTCTCCACTTAAATTCTTTTGCTAGTGGCTGATTGACAGACAGATTTGAGCTTATTTCCCACCTCCTTTTCAGCTGGCCTTCAATAAATTTCTTTTTGCAAAAGCCCGGTGCCATAGTATTGGCTTCTATGTACACTGGGCAGTGAGCCCTTGCTGGCTATGAATCTGGTCTACAAGCATGAGCTTTACAATCAGAAATGCTCTCTCTAGATTTATATACCAGGAAAAAAACCCTTGTGGAACTGGAACACGTGAATAAGCATCTCATATTTCCCATTTCCTCATCTGTGAAGTAAAATAATAGCCACTGAAGTAGACTGGCTTGCTGTCAAACTACCTGCTTTCTTTCTCTTATTAACCCCTTTGTGCCAGCAGGGCAGAAATACAATTTCTGGGTTGCTTTTAAACCCCCTGTCATTGACAATTCTGGCTAAATACCTTCTCTGGTCTAGAGAACAAGGATGCACATAACACGTGTCACTGTGGAGCATTAGGAGCTGCTAGGACAATCTGCCACCACCATCTTCCCTCTGTCATAACAATGGCAACAGCCCTGAGATGGCTACTCCTTTGTTAGAATGGGGAAGACATGACTTGAGGTAACACTCAACTTGTGTGTGAGCCTTAGTCCATACTTTCAAAAAGTTATCATGGAATGAAATGCAGTCATTTCCAATTTCTTATGAATATTGTCCTTAAAATCCCCTTTAGGGCCAGGCATGGTCTCATGAACCTATAATCCCAGCAGTTTGGGAGGCTGAGGCAGGAAGATTGCAAGTTCAAAGCCAGTCTCAGCAACTTTCTATCTCAAAAATAAGAAAAGAGCTGGGGATCTGGCTCAGTAGTTAAGTGCGCCAGGGTTCAATCCCTGGTACCAAAATAAATAAATAAATATAAAATAAAAATCCCCTTTAGGTCCATAACATATTTTTATGCCTAAACTTTGCTTGGAAAGCTTACATCTGAAGGAGCTAAAAATACGCTCTTATTGGGCTGGGGATATAGCTCAGTTGGTAGAGTGTTTGCCTCACACGCATAAGGCCCTGGGTTCAATCTGTAGCACTCTATACACACAATATGCTCTTATGGTATATTGACTGTTTTGAGTTAAAGGCACTTAAAAAAACAAATAGCAGGTAAAAGAGGATCACTCTGACCTTCCTTCTGTTTCTATAAACAGGAGAAGAAATTCCCAGGTGAAAGGTACCCTCCATGTACTAGAAGGAAAACGGCATTTTCATCAAGGACAGGAAGTAGAGATAGAATTCTGTAGAAACTTTGTTTAAATAACTCGAACTGTATCTTCCAACATAATTTAGTTGCTATTTTTACAACTTCCTATCTTTGTCCAACTCAGTATGTAGAAGTGCTTGACTCCAACTCCTTCTTTGGGTCTTCATATCCTTATGAGGGCTTCTGGGCCATGAAAAATTTACACTAAATACATCTGCTTTTCTCTTGTTAATCTGTCTTATGTCAATTTACTTCTTAGGCATAGCCAAAAACCCTAAAAGGGAAGAGGTGAAGTTTTGCCTCCCCTGCTTCACCCATTATACAGCCTTGTAAATTCCAACCTCTTGTGACTACGTAATACTTAAAATCCTTAATTTATCTAAACAAAGTTACAAGGTCATTTACATAAACCGTATTCAGAGTGATGGCATTTTTTTAAAAAGTTGGTTTAGAATACAGTTGGAAATGTAAAGAGTTTTTAGTTCACGCAGTGAAAGAATTTGTCTGCCTTTTTTGCAATTTCACATGAATTTCTTCCAAGTCCTTTTGCTCTCAGAATAATTCTTAAATTTTAAGCACCGAATTATTAAAATAATTTAGTTCCTCTCATTTTCCTTATAATTTTTCAACATCTGTGTTGTTAGTGTTACTTAAAATGATGTAAAGCAATCTAAACTATAAATGAGTATTGGAAAATTTACCTCCCAGTAAGTAGGTGAATGAGGTAACTCAAAGGTTGTTGAATGATTTTCACCTTCAGGAATATCCCATTACCCCATAACTTTTTAAATCTCAGTGCTCAGGGTGAGATGATCAGTAGAAGTCAAACATTCAGCAATAGTTTTCCTATCTTTTTTGGGGGGCGCAGGGGAGTACTAGGGATTGAACTTAAGGGCACTTGGCCACATCCCCAGCCCTATACTGTATTTTATTTAGAGACAGGGTCTCACTAAGTTGCTTAGTGCCTCACTTTTGCTGAGGCTGGTTTTGAACTCATGATCCTCCTGCCTCAGCCTCCCAAGCTGCTGGGATTACAGGCCTGTGCCACTCCACCCAGCTTCTACCATTTTTAACACATTGCTGGGTCTAACTTCTACTCCGAAATAATGAAAACAACAAAGTCATATATCCACCAGACCACTTGAACTGTTACACCATTCCAGTGAACCAGTATTTAAGTATTTGACAGAACAAGTGAATGATTTCTGAAACAGCAATAAGCGTTCTAAAGTTGGACTGTAGCTGACACAAAGTAAAGGGAGAAAAAGCTAAGGAAGATTTGGTGGTTTCATTGCTACCTTTCGGTTTCTAAATAGTTGCTTGCACAGATATTTTTCTGATTAAAGTTGTCAATTGCCTGTTCCTGTGAACGTTGATCAGCACCCTGAAGTTATTATGTTTCGAGGTAACTTACGAAGAGAAGACAAGCTGGAGGAGCCCCGCAGAAACTGGTGTAAACCGTCTTCCCCATCGCTAGAGCTGGCTATGCTGTTCCTCATTTCCAGCATGGAGATCTGTGCGCAAAGGCTGAGCTGGTGCTCTAACTTTTTGGCCTTCTACAAAGCAAAGTTTTAATATTTCAGAGGTTTATGGAACTTGAATCACCTATTCCCTGTAAGCAGCATGTACTTTTCCTTGAAATAAGTTAGTGCAAAAAGAAAAAAGGACCTGGGACACATTTAGTGCCCTATAAATGTGAGCTATGATTTTTATTATTAGCTGTTACTATAAACACATTATAAAAATTTAATATACTCAACAGCCTATTTACTAATTTGAAATAATAAGTTCAAACTTAATGTGATAAATAGCCTAGACTAGATGAGTTAAGAGACACAAGCCATAGTCTATGTTCTTGGAGAACGGTACGTTTCACAGAAAGAGTGTTTTGCAAGTTCTCTTCTGTAATAAGTTCAATTTCCTTCTAAACAAATGTGGGAGATTATGATCAAATTGCAAACTGTTGATCTTTGCAGCTTTGCAAGTTTACACTCCCCCGTTACCTGTGGGATTCCCGGGAGATGGAGTGGCCAGGAAGATGTGCAAGACTAGAAGACACCAGGGCTAAAAATGCCAACCTCCTGCACTTGGGGCCTTGTCTGTAGCCCTTCCCTGTCACTGCCACACCACCCCAGGCCCCCTCTAACCCGAGTCCTTGTTTAAAAGACTCTTAGAGAGGACAGTACCTCATACCCATAAATGCTGGTACCTGACACTTATAGACTCCTCACTAACTAATTCAAATTAAATAATTGTGAAATACTCCCTTGCTCTTCAGAAACAATTTGCTGAAGGATCTCTCCTTTACAAGTATCCCTTTGCACTTAGGATAGATTACTTAATAAAAATTCGGGAAAACATGGGGTAAAGTGAATAATACCCCACCCTACATATTTATTTAAGAAAAAAAATCAGAAAAGCACTTACTTTATCATTTATGGTGGGATCATTCAATGAATACAGCTTATTTGTAATGTCTTTTCCTATAAGATATCTAAATATCTCATACAGGAAAGGCTCTGATTCCAGAAAGTAAGTTAATCTTTCTCTTGACCAGCATAAAAATCTGCAGTTATCATCTGCAATAATGGTGACCTGCCAAAGACACAAAGGAAAAAATACATCTACCAATATGAATTATGACTCTAGTAATTTGGACGAAGGGAAGAGTACATTTAGCAGATATTATCATAGCAATGATTCTGTAATATTATTTATATTCCAAGTTTCTATAATCATGTATAAAATTAGGTTTCAAAACATTTTGCATTGGAGGCTGAGTCAGGGTGATCTCAAGTTCAAAGCTAGCCTCAGCAATGGCAAGGCACTAAGCAACTCAGTGAGACCCTATCTCTAAAAAAACAGGGCAGAGGATGTGGCTGGGTGGTTGAAGTGGTTGAGTGCCCCTGAGTTCCATTCAGCAGACTGAACAGAAGCAAATCTCTTTTTTTTTTTTTTTGAGAATTTATTTTTTAACATCTTTGTTGGTATGTGGTGCTGAGGATCGAACCCGGGCCGCATGCATGCCAGGCAAGCGCGCTACCGCTTGAGCCACATCCCCAGACCCAGAAGCAAATCTCTTGAGTTCTGTTGTTTTGTTTTGTGAGGTCTGGGGACAGAAGAATGGCCGCTGTCAACATGTTGCTGTAGAGTGTGCTAGACTGATATTACAATTGGATCTGTCATTTACAGGTGAATATTTCTTTATATCCTGTTGAAGATAATGAGCTCTAAGAACAGAGCTTCAAACAAATGAAATGAGGTAAGATTTGTCAGGCACAGTGCAGAAGAAGACCTTCTGCCAAGCTGACCCAACAAATACACACTTGAGACTGAGAAACTTTAAGGCCCTAGGCTGTAACCAATGAGTACAGCTGGTGAGCATCCTTGGCCTTTCAAGGCTAGCTCCATGGTAGCCCACTGGGGATACACGCAGAGATGCCTCGATTTGCTCAGACTATGAAGCCATACCCTTTATGCTAAGTATGATGCACAAGAAGTAAGGGGACACTGTAGATGCATCACCCAGAATTCAAGAATCCCTGGAATAAATCCTTTCTCCAGAGGGTCACCTTCTCACAGCTCAGTGACTATAAGCCACTCTCCCATGCAGGTCCTCTTCCAGCACTGAGTACTCCTCTTCATATGTCACTCATGCCACTACCTCCAAACTTATCTGTTAACACATCTGTGTCTCCTAAGCACACTGATGGCAGGGATCCTGTGTCTTCAGGTCTGAATGCCAAGCTTCTGACACACAGTGGTTCTCATGCATGATTATTATATAAAAGAATTAACAAATGAATGCAGATACTGTTGAAGGCAAAAACCATTTTTACATCCTTCACATTAAACCCAATGCCTGCCCCAGTATGAGAATAATAAAGGTTTGTAAACTGGCATGAAGTCTTATCTGAGCCTCAGAGCAAATATTTTCAAAGAAATTTTTCCCCCTTCATAAGGCACAAAAATTATACACATTTCAGATGGCTAAGAGTGTATTTAAGTGTACCAAGAGAAAAAATGAAAAACACAGCTTCTCTCCTTTACATCAATAGGCTGAAATCTGCAATCTTTAGCAAATTAGAGGGTTCAGCTATTTTAAAAAGTAGGTAAATGTTCCTGAAAAAAAGAAAGTTCAGGTTTTTTTTTTTTTTGATGTTAAAAGTCAGTGTTGGGGCTGGGGTTGTGGCTCAGTGGTAGAGCACTACCTAGCATGTGCAAGGCACTGGGTTTGATTCTCAGCACCACATATAAATAAATAAAATAAAGGTTCATCAACAACTAAAAGGAAATATTAAAAGAAAAAGTCAGTGTCTCCAAAACCAAACATGTTTGAATTTAATAAATTAACCAGCAGCTGTAAAACTCCATAAAACACTAAATTCCATTCATTCTTTCAATTCACTAATACAGACTTACACAAAAGTTGCAAAGTAAACAAGATAAGATCCTTGCTCCATGAAGCTTATGTTCTAGTGAAGAAGGCTGATCATAAATGAAGAAATATGACAACCTCAGGTGACAGTAAGTGTCTGACAAATATAGAACATGGGAAAGTGGTAGAGAGTAACCAGGGGATGATAGTTGAATATAATGTCACTTATTTTATATATGTATTGTTCTTTTAAACACTTAAGATGCCTTTACATCTATCATATAAGTGTATCCTTAACATTGCCTTTAAAATAAGGCAGGCAATATTTCTCATTTGTCAGATGCTAAATGAGAAAGACCAAAAAACTTACTCATGAACACATGTTAGTTAGGGGGTGGTGTGAGTACTTTTCATTGCTAGCCCAGACATTTCCCTATCAGGCCAAATCCAATTCAATGCATCCCATGTTCATAGACAATCACATACTAGTAATTCAGCTAAGTGACCACAAGGTTGGCTGTACAGTGCATCAAGAGCCCTTCATATAAAGAACAGCTAAACACAGGATCACTATTTCTGTGTTCTAATGAAAGAAGCTGATAATAAAGTAGTATGACTAAAATATGAAAAGACTTATTGGAAGAGAAGTATAAGGTCCAGCCATAGAAAATTCCCAGAAAGAGTAGGGGGTAGATAAGTAAATGAAAGGCAAATGTTTAATGGTAGAAATAACGGAAAAGTGAGCACTGGGTACTCATGGTGGCACAGCCACACACATAAGCACTGAAGAGTGAGTAAGGGGACCTAAGGTCCTTTCATTATGCAGATGTCATCTGAGACTCTGGAAAATACAATTCACCTGCAGTGGGGCAAAGAGTTACAGGAGAAATTGGAAATCATCCAGGAGTAGAAATTTGACTTGGACAATACATGTAATGTATTTAATTTTTCTTCAACCATGTGAATTACCTCAAGTCTCCTCTGAGGCATGATACTTTTTATCATGACACTATAATTTGTCTAGCAAATCCATCGATTACTTACAGTTGAAAATTACTTTATACCTGTTTAAATTATTATTGAATATTTAATAACAGCATGCATATAACAAACTATACCTATAGTATTTGGGAGCCAGTGGCTAGTGCATTCACAGAGGCTATTTTGCTTGATAGCTAATGTTTCACTTCTGCCAAATAGATAGTTAAATTTAATGATTTCCTGTCACAACAGTCAAGTGTATTTTAATGAAAAAAATTCAAATAAAGCAACATAAGAATTTTTAAAGCTTCTATAAAATAAATTTACTTTTTATTAGGGTACTTCAGCAGTACCATGTCTGAATTCTTGTGAAGAATTTTACTGAAGAAATAAAAGCAAAGCAATAAAAGCAAGAAACACAGCAAGGCAAGACACAAAAAATCTTTCAGATGGAGAAGTAGACTGTTTGCAACTGGGTTTGTCCTGATTATTTCAAGGCACTGACTGGATGAGTCCCTGACTTTAGATTCCAAACCAGTTCTACACCTGCCATAAAGAAAAGATAGTGGACTCTATCCTGCGGGGAAAGAGGGCATCTGGGAGACTTGCTGAATGAGCTAATATCAGAAAGAGCTGTCTGAAAAGAAGAAGAGAAAGAGCTGTCTAAAAGGATTATTCAACTGTCCTAAGGGAAGAATTTATTACTTTTTTAATGCATCATACAGCATTTTACATACCAGGAAAATGAAAACATCCTAGAATTGTTCTATTCAACTGATGCTCATTGAGTTCTCATGGGCAGTAAAATACAGCAGAGTTAAAACTGGCAAATTATTAGTCAGCGACACTGAAATATCTACTTAGTATTAAGATACTCTTTTCTTTAAATACCAGTTAAAACTTAGCATTAACTTATTTCACAATTCATTTATTTCACATATACATATTCACCTATGCCTCCAAGACCTTCCTCTTCTCTTTAAGTGAATAAAATTGATTTCCAAGCTTTGCAGCACCAGGACATGCTACTGGCTATGGGAAGGCAAAAGTATGAGATAGAATGCAAAAGAAAAATGTGCAAATGGGAATACTCATTTCGGATAAGACAACTGCATGAAGAAAAAGAAACCAAACACAAAACACCATTTAAGGTGTAAGGATGATACTCAAGATGATTCTTCTTCTTATTATTATTATTATTATCATTATTTTTGGTCTGGGGATTGAACCCAGGGATACTCTACCACCGAGGCACATCCCCAGTCCTATTTTGCATTTTATTTAGAGACAGGGTCTCACTGAGTTGCTTAGCACCTTGCTAAGTTGCTGAGGCTGGCTTTGAACTCACGATCCTCTTGCTGCAACCTCCTGAGCTGCTGGGAATATGGGCATGTACCACCGATACATGGCTGTGATACTCAAGATTCTATCAACAAATTTAAGTGGCAGCTTTGATCTGTATGTACCTACCAGTACCTAGGGAGAATGAATTGCAAGTTCAGAGTCTGTTTCTTCACCCCCATCACCATGTGTATTGTCATTATAATTACTACACATTTACCTGAGCAATACTCTGTGCTGCTTAGGGACTTGCCTTTTCTTTTCTCCTTTTTGTCCTATTATATAATTCATCAGCACTCTGGCCACAGAATGAATTTAAAGATATAAAAATTCAAAGGATGAAGCTCCTTTTTAAATAAAAATGTCTATTTTTTTTTTAGTTGTAGTTGGACACAATAACTTTATTTATTTATTTTTATGTGGTGCTGAGGATCGAAACCAGGGTCTCACACATGCCAGGCAAGTGCGCTAACCACTGAGAAACAGCCCCAGCCCCTGTAGCTCCTTTTTAGAAAACTCCCTAAATAGAGTTAGGGAAGGAGTTGAGATTAGAGGTAAAAAGCATATGGGGAAAGAAGTTTGACCAGTGACCACTTCAAGTGTCCTCTGTGATTGGCACAGGGAGTAAGAAGTTGACCCTGGAAGCACATAGTATTTTCCATTTGTAAACTTGCTTCAGTAAGAGGCCATATACAGAGTACTCCTACACAAATGTGCACCAGTTAATTCTTACTCTTGAGTATCTGTCAACAGGAACATTTATAAACAATCAAAGCGCCATCTCTCCCAGAGCTTACCCTGATGGAGTTGGCTCTGACTGTACAGGCATAGGCTGGTTGATACTAGAGGAATTTTCACCCACTGGCCAATCATGAAATGCCACCCAGGTTCTATGTAGAGAAAAGCTGACTGGGATTAGCCAAGGACAAATCAGTGTCTTTCCTCAAGCTACTGTATCTCAATTTTGGTCATGTTCTTAGACTCTCCATATTAGTTTTCAGGAATAATTCTCAACTACCAAAATCCAACCCTAGTCCCCAAGAAGAAAGAAAATTACAGCTATAAGTAGAAGTGAGTTTTCTTTTTCTTTCTTTTAAACTTTCTTATAATATAATTTGAAATCCAGTGGAAAAAATGGTGATAATATTTGTATGCCTGGCCTCTTGGGCACCACTTGCTTCTGGAAACAAAGGTTTAGTCCTCAATCCCAGTCTCCTCAGGATGAGACTGGATTATCTCATAAAACCACCTGCAACTATATACAAAAACAGATGCAGGAGATGAATATTGTGCTTTGAAAAAAGCAGCTATAAGGAGGACAGAGGAAAGGAGAGGAGAAAGAAGTGGCCCTGCTCCAGTATGCAGATGGTGGTGATTAAAGATAGAATAAGAACATAAATCTCAGGCCACAGCTGACCTCCACAATAATAAGAGTGATAGGGGCTAGGATAAAAACCAGCATTTTCTTTCTGTATCTTAAGAGGAGTTAGCATGGGAACACTGACACACACAGTTGGGGAACTTAAATGAGACCTCCTAGTACATGCACCTAAATTTAACAAGCTGTGTGATTACTTAAGCCAGATGGGAACAGGGAAGGGCTGAAGTAATTGTAAATGAAATAAACAAAAGTATATTCCTCCAAATTTCCTCTTTTATCTTCACTCTGTGACATCTCAAAACAAGACTTTAAGATCTTGCCATCAAGAAATACTGCCATTTCTTCTCCCTTCGCTGGGAGCATGCTGCCCTTCAATTCCACTTCCCACCTGAATATTTGTACCATCTTGTTCATAAGCAATCCTATTCTCAGGGTATTTCTTACTTCTGTTTTTCCTGAGGCTGAGACTAAAGGACATTCTCAACCATGTTCTTGGTTATTTTCCTACTAACAAAAAATACAATAGGAGGGCTGGGCACTTACAGAAACAAATCAGAACAAAGGGCCATGAAAGGGAGCAATGAAACACACATACACACAGAAGGAATGACACTGAACAGGCCATGTTCAAATTATTGCTACTGTGAAGGATTTTATTCTTTGCCTTTAAACATATTCACTGAGTATAAAAGGGTAGTGATTAGTTGGGTTTTTTTTTCTCCACAAGTATCAACAAAATTAATTCTCCAGGGCAAAACTGGTTTTCTATTTTTCCCTAATAAAAGTAATCATTTATATGCTTCAGGAACACCGATTATCTACAACTGACATTTTCCTATAATAAAAATATTCAATGTTTTCTATAGGAAAACTAGAAATTCAAATAAGCAAAAGGAAAAATACTTAAAAAGCAAGTAAACTAACAACACAGAAACAAAAGTGTTAACACCATGGCTAACACTGGATATCTTTTTAGCCCTCTATTTGTACATATACACACAATATTTTAAACCTTTTTTTTAGATGGGATTATATTATATATGCTATGTGATGATCTCTTTTTTAAAAAAAGATAAATCACGGTCACTTTTCTATTAATATTCATTAGATTTTGATGATATATGATATATGTCAATTAGTGTTTATCTTTTTAAAAACCATGCCAACATACCTGGAATTTTTCACCTTTGTGCATCTGAGTTGATCTAAATTCAGGAGAATCTATAAAGGCACAGGGGTAAATGTTATGCAGAAAATGTCCTCGATAGGAGACCTTCATTCTGATAACAGAAATCAATGTTAATATACATATATTTCACAAAATAACATGACAACCCTTCAAATTACCATACGCTTATAGAATTATATTTTGTGCAAAAGTTTTAAAGATTCCACAGATGATAGACACGATTAAAAGCTCTTCCTGAGGCACACCATCATTTAAAAAATAATGAAAGGAAAAAAAAACTAGCTTTCACTATTAAACAGGTTATCATTGCACTTATGGCTGGAGTGACTATGTAATTTGTTACTCAAACTGGGAGACTTTTAAGAGGAAAAGGGATGCTATTAATAATTATACCTGTACAACATACACTGGCTCTTTCCCCAGAAGACTGACATCCCTGGAAGATATATATATATATATATATATTTTTTTTTTAAAATAGAGAGGGGGGGGAGGATAGTTTAATATTTATTTTTTAGATTTCGGTGGACACAACATCTTTGTTTGTATGTGGTGCTGAGGATCGAACCCGGGCTGCACGCATGCCAGGTGAGCGTGCTACCGCTTGAGCCACATCCCCAGCCCAATTTTTGTGATATTCAAAAATAAGCAAATCACCTCTATTGCAGATATAAGCTTTTTAAATGTTAGAGCCAAATTTAAACCTATTTTGACTTTGACTCATTAACTTAACAAAATTTGAAAATAGTTAAAAATGTCTGCAATTGAAAACTTTGACATCTACAAGATTCAGAGTAGTAAAGTCTGCCTAGCCTTAACATGGTGCTCCACTGAGTGCCAGAGTTGACTTGTAAAACAAAACTGCATCAACACCATACTCTGAGACTGCTTCCTGCATTAGTTGGCAATATATCCTTCTACTCCTTTCCTTGCCAAGGGCTATGGAAAGATTTCAAGGCAAGCTAAGAATTCCTGCTTCCATATAGCACTTACTTTCCCTTCAGGAGAATACTCAGACGGTCATCAACTGAGGTTTTATCCTCTGCGGCATACGTCTGGCCCTTTTTCAAGGTTTGGATCATGCAAAACTGTCCAGTCAATCTTCTGAACAAATCTGGAGGCACATGGAGTGGTTCAAATAATCGACGGTAGATGCCAGTGAGTTCCCTTTCAATCTTGACCTGAAATGGAGCAATGACCAGATGCTGCACTAAAGCAACAACCCCCAAACACTCACTTCTGTTGTCTAAATGTGGTTGGAAAATAAACAAATCTGTAGTACTCTTCTACATGCACTCTTGTGCATGTAGGTCAATGGAGTCTTAGAGAGTAAGTAGTGATGCGAGTTTATACTTTATGTGCTAAAACAGCACTTTTGCAGTAAACACAACTCTGAGAGCACAAGGGGGAAGACTGACAGTATTGATCACACCTCTTTGTATGGACCCTGATGCAGCTGTTAAGGTTCTGAATATTGTCAGGACATGCACCTTCCCAACCCCAGAATGTTCTACAAATAACACAAAACCTTTGTCTCACCAAAAGAAATTACATTAACTTTTAAATATTATAGCAAGAAAATACATTATATAAAAATAAGAATCAATGTGAAAACAAATTGACAAAAATAATAGTCAGATACTCTAAGCATCTAATCACCATGTAATGATTACTTAATGTATCAATATAGGAAAATAAACATCTACAACTGCAATCACTGCTTCACATTTATGTCTTCTAGAGCAAACTGAAGGGGAAAAAAAGTGTTTCAGTTTCAGTACACTGATCTCATCCTAAACTAAAATGAACTCTGCAGAATGGAGAAAGCCCACCGGTGAATAAGGCAGGCTACTGGAGGAAGAGAAAAGCAAAACAGCTTAATCGCCTGTTTTCAGATTCTCCCAGGCCCATCTCTGGGCCCAGAAATGTCTCTGGAAGCCACACTAATTGGGTGGATGGAAAGCTGCACTGCTCTGTGAATGAACTCTGTCCCAGTTAAAGCTCTGGCAGATGTACTTGTAAGCTTACAGACCAGATCACAAGAGCTGCTCCAACCTGTCATTGCTCCAACATTTGAAGTGATCTTACTTGTCCTCTGTTTCATTTTGATGAAGAACCAGAATTTATATTTTTCAGAATATAGGTCGATAGCCCAAGAAGAAACAAAAGCACAGATGTGAAGTACTTTACCTTTTTGGTGCTTCAATCACATCAGCAACTCCTGAACCTTGTATTTTGGGGTTCCAAAATATTCTGGTATCCAGGAACTGTTATCCTCATTTTACAATCACTTACCTCCCCCAACTCCAGAGCTCTAGTAATGAGCATCTAAGACTATTTGCACACGTCTTTCTTCTAGCATGCACATTCTCCAATATGCCACAGTCAGATCTGAAGTCTAGTGGCACATACTCATATTCTGCTTATCCTACAAGTCCCAGATTTCTTTACGAAGCCCTCTTAATTCTGCTCCTCTTTGAAAGCATCCACTCATCAAGTTTTTTCCGAGCATCTACTGTGTGCCAATCATGCTTGACAGAAACAAGCTACAACAGTTAAGTGTGTTAGATTATACTATTGTTCCCAACCCCTGTAAAAGGATTATACTTGCCCTTACTGTACCCACCCATTGTCAAGCTTGGCCATGTCATTTGCTTTGGCTAATGAAATATGAGCAGAAGTGACATGTGTCTCTTCTGAGCAAACATTCTAAGAAACAATGGATATTTTCTTTTTCATTTTCTTGAACTTTTCCCTCTGCCATGAGAATGCATGGCCCAAACAGAACCTGCTCCTTCAGAGACCCTGAAATGAATATGATAATGAGACAGAATCACAGCTGCACACCGCTGGGAGTCAACACATTAGATGAATGAGGAAAAAAGCCCATAGCTATTATATATCACTGAGATTTTCAGGTTGCTTATTAGCCAGCATGACCTAGAGAAAACTGAGTAATACAGTAAAGTAACAAACTGAATTACTGTGTTTGAGGAGGTTACAAAGTGGAATGCCTACTGTATACATCTAATGTATCATTCAAATTGTGGCTTCCTGTAAATCACTGTGTTTCCTAGCAGCTCTCTACGAGCAGGTCTGAACTTGGACATAAGATTAGAGCAAGTGCTACATCCTTCACTAAATGTTTGTGCTTAGGACAGTCAGGAATCATCCTCAAGTAGTTTCTAGGAGCCCTGCTGTTTTCCTATTCTATTTTTGTTCTGGGTATGACCAAGGAAACACAAGATAAATCAGAATTGAAAATAAACAGTTAAATAGGGGTGTTTTGGCAACTATTCACCCAAAATGAACAATTTGGGCATATGAAAAAAATACATAACCATTACACTAAGAAAATAGTATAAACTCATGGGGCTGGGGTTGTGGCTCAGCGGTCCAGTGTTTGCCTTGCAAGGTCCTGGGTTCGATCCTCAGCACCACATAAAAATAAATAAATAAAATAAAGGTATTGTGTTCAACTACAACTAAAAAATAAATACTAAAAAATTTTTTTTTAAAAGTATAAACTCAGGAAATCATTAGTAGATTTATGGAAGTTGCCATAAATATTTTAGATCTAATATGAAATTATCACTAATGGCTATTAGTTAGCCATTTTAGAACTAGGCAAAGATATTCCCAAGTGACATTTGAGTACCAATAAAGATATAATCAAGTAATAGATTTTAAAAAAGAGAATATTATTCATGTTTTTTCATGTTTTAATCATTTAAAAAGTTTTAAAAACTCATTTGTAAGACAAATTTCACAGTTCTAGAATGTTTTACTTTCAGGCAATATATAAACAGAAAGTCTAATCTTCAGAGAAATGATATTAAAGGGAATAAATGTGTTAGATGTTCACTTTCAAGTCTGAATGAAAGTACTTTTAAAAGCTTTTATCTTTAAAATATTTCCTTTTAGATAATTTTAGTAATTACCGGTCTTTTCTTGTATAAAAGATATGAAAGATGCAAAATGTTGATGCCCAAGAACACAGAGTTCCAGATCATTATATCCAAGGCACATCGGTAGAGAGTGGCCCAGACGATATAAAGGGTGCAACCTGTTGAACAACAAAGTTATCATGTTAGATATCTAGAATGACTTCTGCAAGTGGCTTGACAAATTTACCCTCTCTATATAAACGAACACATTTTAGAAGTATTTATACTGAATATTGCATTAAGTTTTCTTTGGGTTTTCTACTAAAAAAATATTTGTTAAAAGGGGACAAAGTTCATAATTCTACAACTTAAAGAAAATCACAGCTGATATTTAATACTGCCTTAAAACTTTCATGTAGTTCTACCTGATGGAAAACCTATGGTACAGATAATTTTTTTTTTGAGCAGACAATTTTAAAGCCTATTTTTAAAACTTAATATAATGATTTCCCATCTTTAAAAACTCTTTGTATGTGTAGTTTTTAATGGCTGTAACTGATTAAAACACAATTTATTTAATCATTTCCTTACTGACAGATATTTTGGGGGTTATAATTTTTGATAAGTAGCAAAAGCAACTTTATATATAAAACCATATCTTTTATTTGTGATTAGGAATGAACTGCTTAGCTTTGGATAATATTGAAGAACTGTTTGTCAAAACATTTGTACAAATTTATAAACCTACTAGTTGGGAACGCCAGTATAAAGTTGTGATTAATTAGAAGACAACTTCATGCTTGTCATTAATTAGTGGAAGGTGAATCTAGGGAATGAACCTACTCGTTGGGAATGTCAGTATCAAGTTATTAATATTATAAAATTTGAAAATTCTTAATAGTGAGGAATTAAATACTTTATTTTGTATTTTTGTGATTACTGGGGAACCCAAGTGTTTTACAAAATGTTTTAGTCATCTGAATTTACCTCAGCAATTATCTATTCAACTGCTGGAATCTTCCCACTTTTTCTCATCAATTCTTGTTTCTTATATAAAATATCCTCAGTTTCTTTCAATTTTATGGTGGGAGAGTGAATATTTTAAATCTAACATGAAATGATCACTAAGAAACAAATATATCAATATGTGCACACAAAAGCTAAGCTTAGACATTAAAGAGTCATTTATTTGTAATTTTTAACTTCATCAATTTTTAACTTCATTTTTTAGAGCATCTGAATAAAGCCTATCACTTTACTGTCTGTGTCTTCACTTATCTCTTTATAAAGTATTGGATTAGATGATCCCTTTGGACCATTCCATCTCTAAACTCTGATTTTAAGATTCGTAATTGGATTTAAAAAAAAATTGTGGGTTTTGCTTTTTCTTTTTCAACCTAACATCCTGCTCCTTCTGCTACTATTTCTACCTTGTCTGAATCACACAGCCGCAGAAGACACTCAAGCTGCTTTCTAGCTACCCTTCCAGCCTCTTGTCATTTCTCATATATTTCAGGGACAAGAGCTACTCCTCATTCACTCTGATATGCTGAAATTCCTTTCCTCTCTTCTGTGCCCCTTAATAGGGACCCTGTACTCTCAGAGAAGTCCTGCTCATCTTAAAAGCCAGCTGTCGTATGACTCCTTCAGTGGGACCTTGCTCCAACCTCCTCCTAATGCTGACACCTTCCCCACACTCCCCCTCACCCAGGCACTGGGAAAATACCTGCGTCATAGACTGCCCATCATTTTTCTCCTGGTCCCCATGACAGTCTTTAGAAGGATGGAGATTGCCTTCTTCAATCTTAATTAGACACATTACAGGTGTCAAAAATACACCTGATGGGATGGGGTTGTGGCTCAGCAGTAGAGCGCTCACCTAGCACATGTGAGGCCTGAGTTCGATCCTCAGCACCACATAAAAATAAATAAATAAAGATATTGTGTCCAACTAAAAAATAAATATAAAAAATACACCTGAATAAATGGATAATCAGAAATAATTTCATGGAGAATAATTTTTCAAGAATTACTGGCTAAAATAATAGACTCAATTGTTTCAATATTTTGATGTGAATCAACTTAACCTGTTTCATCAAGGTTACCAGGTCAAATCAATCTTCCTACCTATCTACCTACCTATCTGTATCATATATAGTTGTGAATGTCAATATCAAGTTTTACTTGGAACTATTATATGTGGGTAATTGTTTTTATTCCCAATGTTGCTTTACTGGCCATAGCAAATATCTTTTCAAATAATAATGATTGAGATTGTATAGTACCTACTATGTGCCAGGTACTATTCTAAGGCAAATATATGTCTCACAGACATACCTCATTTAACTCTCTAAAACAACCCCAGGAGGTAGTTTTATTTGTAACCCTTGACATGTAAGGAAACTGAGGTGACAGAAAAACTAAATTATTTGCCAAAATTACACAGTTAGCAAGCAGTGGCAATAAGATAAGAATCACACAATCGTGTACACTTTTGCATATGCATGGATTTTCTGATATCTGGAAAATCTAAATATATGAAAACACAATAGTCTTTTAAATTAAAAAGGGAGATACAGTATGTGAAGGTCTATGTTCTAAGTTACCTGATACACGACTGATTTGATGATAAAGATTTAGAGTTTGGGGTATGCTATAGACCTGACAAGGAATACTCTGAAGCCCCGGTCAAGCCCATTTATATAAAATCTGTTAGGCAGCTCACCTATAGTTAACATCCCTCTAAGAAATATCATATGAAGGTGAAGAGTAGTTGGAATAACCAAACCAACTGCAAAACAAATATTTGCCACATGAAAAACTAGATGATGTATCTCTCTCCAGTTTTCACAAGTGGTCTCATTTGAAGGCACAGGTGTGAGACTTTCTAACCCAGGTGTAAAACCTATTGCAGTTGATTCTGCCAGAGGGCTGGACTCTGTAAAATTCATGTTGAAAATTCCTGTAAAAACAAATAAACAAAAGGAAAATCATAAAAGTAGCAACTATATCATATCACCCCTGGGACAGGGGCTATGCCAAAATTATTTCTGTGAATTGAATGTTGGTAAATAATATGTTTCAGTGCTTAAGAATTAGATAGGCTCAAATATTAAATATACCTCTTTGCTTATCTGTTAAATGATGTTAATAATACCTCATTTGTTTTATGCTCAAATTAAATGAAATATATAAAATACTACACATAGTGCACAACTGTTTTCGGTGTGTATGTGCATATTTTATGTATTTGTATGTATATATATATATGTACTTGATGGGGAGGAGTGAAGGGAATTAACAAGTCTAAAAGAAATTCACCAATGTTCATAAACCACAGCAGTTCCAAATTTATTCAATATAGTGTTTCATCATATTCACAATGATGATACTAAATCTAAACACAGGAAAAATAACTGGAAAACTGATTTTTTGAATACTTTCAAAGATAATTGATACCCCCAAATTTGCTATTTGGAATCTTAGGCTATTTAGAAGGCTTGGGATATTTGAATGCTCTATTTTTATAACATCATTAAATCATTATATAACATTATATTCATACTAAGTAATTATATATGCATATAATATTATCAGATACATTATTTATATATATATATAAAGATATAATACATAAAGAAATAATAATTCTAGTTGATGGCGTCTCACAAATTAAAAAGTTGTAAACTTACAATTTATTTATATGCAGGAGGGTCATGAATACATATTTGACTAATATTAAGATTCATTTAAATACATTTCAAGGAACATATATTTTATGCCTGCTTATATAAAACTTAATACAAAATAGCACTCTTTCCTGACTATATTACCTATCTTTGATGTCTGGTCCTTAAACTTTATTATTAATTATACAAATTTGGTCCTTGACCAAAACTATATAGGTTTATGGAACACATGAATTAATCTGTTTAGGGAAAGAATGACAAGTGGGCACCCAGAATACCTTTAAATCTAATTTAGAAATATATACTTTTTTTCAAAATAATGCCACACAATTAACATTACTTTTTTCACTCACTGTTTTTTTTTTTAACATATTAAAGATTTTAGGTGGTAAAATAATTGAAATAGGTTGGGCATTCTGAAAGGATATTAACAGACAAACGTGAAAGAATTTGACATTTCTTAAGATGACAAAACACACACATACATGAAACATACAAATTTATAAACTGCCAATGAAATGATAGTCAAATTAAAGATCTCTTCGTGTAATTCTGAAATAGCTCACAAATAGAAATAATTGCCTTAAATGTTGATTTGCTACAAAAGGAAAAAAACAAAAATTCAACTACTTTTGAAATCTCTAAATGAATAAAAAGCCTATTGGGATGGAGAGGAATCATTATTTTAATTACTCTATACCAAGTTTGCTTTTGAGAGCTAAACCAAAATTCATCTCATAATTTCTGCAGGAGAGTGGATGATATTAAGTGTCCCCTTACTACTCATAAGCTAAAGTCAAGTCCCCTAGCATTACATAAATGAATAACAAGTACCATTTCTATGGTACTCTAGAACATATTTGCATCTCCATTGTCCCATTTGTCCCAACTATTCTATGTCTTCTATGAAGAAGGGTAATGCTTATTCATCCATGACAAGGCCTAGCCTCTATAAAGAATGCCACTGAGACAGAGATGAAAGCCACATGGAAGGGATATAAACATGACACATACTTTTAGAAATCACTTTTCACTGGTGAAGACAAGAGAGTGCCTAGCTTTCCTAGGCTGACAGTCAGCTTCTGCACAAGCCACCAGGGAGCCACATAAGCCAGGCAAAGTTACTGCTGTTCCTCAGTCTGTTTCTGCCTTGGAATGGAGGCAGCTGGACTAGATGGTCTTTGAAATTCCTTTAAGTTTTAAAGGTCTATGGTTTATGTAACGATTTAATCACATTCTCCCTTGCAGCCACTCCATTATATTAATATTGCCTACTAAGTCCACTGTGATTCAATTTTAGGCATCTGAAAGTTCTTAAAGTGGCATTAAAAGTCCCAATTTCTGGCCCAGGAAAACTACAATCCAGGACACAGGAACCAAAAAATATCAATGGCAAATTTAAAAATTTAGGATTATCCTAAAACATATTTTGGTGCACCACACCTTATTAAAGATATGCAGATACAGCTAGATATATAGATATGATATATATCTATTGTGAAATGCCACTTACCACTTGTCATTAAATATTGATGGGATCTTATGGGTTTCAGCTTATTTTGATTACTCCTGAGTGGACTTAAATGTCTTATGCTGAACTGCCCCTAAACAGAGAATGAATGGGTGTAATGAGGAAGGTTAGACGGGTAAATTGGTAAACTTTCATATTAATTTTGACTAAATCAAGAAGAGTTATCTTTTTTTCATCAGATCCTCAAAGTCTAATTCCTTAAATTACCTGTTCTAGTAAAATCCTATATAACTTGTTTTTCAAGTAGGTATTGGCAAGGCTAAATAGCTAAATGGTGAAGCTAATGTTAAACCTTAACCAAACTACAAAAATTAAGATAAACAGCACAGACTAAAACCTTGCTAATAGATTTAATTAATTTTGTTATTCTAACTGAATCTTCAAACATCTCCGGAATGGCAAATGGCATTATGGCTGAGAGTCTTTACGCAGTTATTCATGCTCCAAAGCAGGCAGTTTCTGAGACTTGTCTGGCCAACAACCCAATTCCCAAAGGCTCGGGAACTAAGCGGAGTAAGTGGCGAGTCATTTGCTCCCCTGAGGCCCCGCTCACCTTGCTCTTTAAAGAAGGTCGGGGTCAATTGATCTCCGGGACTAAACGATCCGGTGCCGCGAGAAGTGCGGTGCTAGCACAGTGCCCCACCTCGCACTTCTACCTCGGACCCGGGATGGGCGACACCCTGCACCTGACTGCACGCAGTCTCTGCGGTCGGGGAAGACGTCGAGTGCTCAGGGACCAGGAGCCCCGGGAGCCCCAGGGAGAGAGACTCCGAGCTCGCCAAGGGATTTGCCCGCTGCAGAGCGCGGAAGCCGGCACCCGGTGGGTCAAGCGCTTGGGGACGCGGGCACTGTCTGACCCGAGCTTTGGCAGCTGACATCCAAGGGTCGGTGGTCGCGATGCCCAGATCAGAGCAGATGGGTGGCCTCCAAGGACAGGAGCGTCGCGAGGGCGCGGACAGCGATCAGGGCAGAGGGCGGCGCTCTTGTTGGCCGGGGCGCGAAACACTGGCAGCTGCCCCGGAGGCCAACAAAGTTGCTCCCTGCGGAGCTGGGTACAACTTTCGCTTCCCGATTTAGCTCGCGGAGCTCAGGGCTACAAAAGAGCAGCTCCCAGGGAGAGCCGGCGGCAGCTGTGCCTCCCTCCCGCTCCTTACCTGGTTTGTCCCCGGCACGGAGCCCGGGCGTCGCTGGCCAAAGTTTGGCGATGGAAAGGCAGGGCAGCGGAACAGCGACGCAGCGGCTCGACGGGCGTCCAAGGCACGAGTCTCGGCCGGCAGGCGGTTTCGGAGACTGGGTCGCCCCGGGCAGGTCCCAGCGCCCGCCGCAGCTTTGACTAAAATAGGCATCGCCGCGGCGGTGGCGGCGGCGGCCGGGGATGGGGCCGCACCGCGCACGCGCCGGCCGCGGGCTCTCCCCAGTCAGGCGGAGCACAGCGCCGGGACCCCCAGCGCGGCTGTTCCAGCTCCAGCACCAGCTCCGCGGCCTTTCTGCACACACGTGTTATCAGTTTGAAACGCCCGCTTGTTTCTTCCTCACTTCCTTTCTACTTATGAATTCTGCCCTTGTTTGGACATGAATGGGGACGGCCTTTTTGAGCCAGGGGTCTTGGTCTCCCATCCCCATGAGGATAATTCGAGACCTAGGGACAAGATGGGAAAACTGGTCCTTCATTTCCCCCCAAAGTTGAACGACCCACTCACATAACTCTTTTCTAGGACACTCGCCCACAAGCAGGGAATGTCCCCGAGAGCGCGCAACTGAGTTTCCGAGTCTGGCGGTGGAGGCTGGACATTGATTTCACAAAGACGCAGGACACCACCTTCCAGCGAGTGCCCCGCCCTGCTGCTGTCGTTCTAGAGGCCACACAACACAGACTTTTCACATATGCCACCTTATTATTTTTTAATTTATTTTTTCTTTTTCCAAGAAGGGTACTTATCCGAAATTGGCCTTCCCGTGGTGCTGCAGGGCCCTTGGTTGTGGGCAAAGCCCCACCTTGCATTTTTGCCACATAGATTTGAGACCAATAATTGAAAAGGAAGATATGAAATTATGCTCCAATCAATCTTGACTGTTTACTGGACAACAATATTAGGTAAGAAATGCAGGAAAAATTGCAGAAATGAAGAGTTGATATTGGTTGGGAAGAGTTGTAGAACAAATGAGAACTGTGAGACAGGGATCCAGTTTCCACCAGAAGTGTCCCATTATATTATAGAATTTTCCCCAGTTATTGGAATATGAGGTCATTCATGCGTGCCAAATATAGTTGATCCAAGTATAAAAAAGACCACTATGTGTACATTGTAAAGAGAGTTCTGGGGATGTGGCTCAGCCGTAGCGTGCTTGCCTGGCATGCATGTGGTCCGGGTTTGATCCTCAACACCACATACAAACAAAGATGTTGTGTCCGTGGAAAACTGAAAAAATAAATATTGAAATTCTCTCTCTCTCTCTCTCTCTCTCTCTCTCTCTCTCT